TTGTGGAAGACTGACGATAATAGAGAGTTAGAAATAGATGAGATTTTGACATTGACTTTATCGATTGTAATTTTTATTATAGAAAATTATTTTTAACAATAAAAATTATAAAAAATTGATTATGTAACCAAATGAGGGATAATATGATGACTAATATTATAACAACGTTATCATGCAACGCTTTAAAATGATAAAAATTTATTGAGATAATATAATAAAAGAAATCAAGCTTACTGGTTGGCTAGGACATATATAATAGGAAAAAGATTATGAGCATTTTAGTCCATTTACATAACAAAAAGTAATTTTGACATTTTCATAAAATATTTAGTCAAATCATTACTTTATCTACTAACAGAGACAAAAGTTACCATTAAGGGGATATCATTGATTTGAAAGTTAACCAGAAGGGTATACAGTGAAGTTTTAGAATCGAGAGGGAGTGTCATTGAATTTAGGCTTAAGTACAAGGGATGTAGATGCAATTTTTTCTAATGGGGAAAGGGTGGAGGTCATTTTAGTCTATTTACATAACAAAGAATAATTTTGATATTTTCAAAAAATATATAGTCAATTCGTTACATTATATATTGGCAGAGTCACAAATCATTGTTAAGGGGGTGTTTTTGATTTAAAAGTATAAACCAGAAAGGGGTACAGTGAAATATCATCATCAAGAAGCAGTATCATTGAATTTAGACCTTACTAGAAAGGGTGTGGATGAAATTTTTCCTAAATTTTTTTTGATTGGGCTTGAATTTTTATATGGCCTTTTTGTAGGGCTTAAAAGGATTTATAAATTTAATTTTTTATATGGATTGTATATGACATCTAAAAATTTGGGGTCTTCTTTAAATATGAGGTCTAAAGTCCAAGCTTTTTTGATAATACTGTTAAGCCGTAGGCAAATACCTCCTGTAGGAAAAAATATTGGATGTGACGGTGATATCACGTCATCATTGTCACGTAATATCACCATGCAATAAAAATATAACAAATAAGCATGTAAATTCCACATATGACATATTCAAGTACCCACCCTACCATGTCATTTCAAGTGGAGTTTCACCTTGTACATTTATAGGTTTATTATTGGATGGTAATATCACATGTCAATAATGACATGTTGTTACTGGTACACCCAATATTTACTCCTCTTACATAGTTGCTCGAGACAACATGAACCCTTAACCACCAGTGCTTTTTCGGGGAATATTTGTTTAATTATTCTTCATGAGCTTTCGAAATATAAAATTATGACAAAGTAGAACTAATTGCTAATTAGTGTTAATTTGGTTGTCGTGTTACTATTCTTTCTTTGCGTTTGTTGAGTGGACAAAGGAAAATGTGAGAAGGTCAAGCAAAAGGTACATTATTGACGTAAAAGGCATGATTTTTGGAAGTGGGTGTTTTTTCCATTTTTAATGAGTTGTTGGTGTGACTTTATTGATGATATTTATTTTTGTCATATTGTTGGTCTTCTCTATTTCGTTATTTAGTGTGTCATATAGGTGGTTATCCTTTAACAAGTAAAATCTGAAAGAAAGATGTAAGAATATGAAAGATAAAGATAGTAAGCAATTGAAAAAAGAATATAATGAGAAGTCGACACCAACCATTGAATCTTGCTCTTCAATTCTTAAACTCATATATAAGGGAGAGGTATCAATTAAGAAGAGCGCAGTAATAGCACAATAATCTATTTATTTGTTTGCACATAACTGATTCCCAGAAAATAAAATGAGAAGTTGACATTAGTTAAACATGTTTGTCAATTGTAAATGTTTGGCATGTTTGACATTAGTTTTAAACATGTTTGACATTAGTTAAACATGTTTTTGAATTGACAAATGCGTTTGTCAGTAATAACCTCCAACAATATGACTAAGAACTATTTGTCACAATGAAAATTGGTTATCATTTGAAAGTTCATTTAACACAACTATAGTGCCACTAAAAACGATTATTAAACTTTAGATGGTGCACAACTGTCTTCAATCTTGATTCTTCCTCTCCTGCAAACCTATATGGCATTGTGTAAACTTTTGACCGATTCATCAACTACACATACACTCATGTAGATTACTTATGTATACACTATTTTCCATTGCCATAATTTTGGCATGAATGCTAGAAATGCATATATCTATTTACACACATAAATAAATTAAAACAAATTGTTTGAAGAGTTTCTTAGATTTAATGTATATAGATAAATTAAGAAATTGTATGTTTAAAATATAACTTATTGTTAATATATTGTGAAAACTGTTTTTTATAAAATGGAAGACTCAACTTATAATTAGATGTCAATAATGGTTTACTACCTGATAGTGAATGCATGTGACAGACCCCAATTATTTCCCTACATATAAACCTAGAAATAAATTTTTTTGCCAAAATGATCTAGAGTTTAAACCAAATTATTTATCTTTTGCTTCAAATAATACTATTAACTTTTTTTCTCATATCTATCTATAAGAGATCTAAGCCAACGTTCGTCAATCATCTAAATACACGTGCAATAAACATATCACCGTGCATTCAATGGCTACAATTTTGAACAAATAAAAATAATCAATAACAATTAGAATTAGAATCAAAATTATTCACGTGCAACGCACGTATGTAACAACTAGTGTTATTTAAAAATACATCGTATTTTTAGCAATCAAATATATTAATACAATATAAAATTAAATTAGAGAGTTTAATATATTATAATTCTATAATCTACTTTTTAATTGTATAGTGCATTAGGGGCCATAAGATAGACAACTTGATATGTTAGAACTTATTGGAGGAAAAAAGTTGGTGGGGGGTTTGAAAAGTTGTTACACTTGTTATATGGTATATTGTACATATCCTTGGAATATGCCATTTGGAAAAAAGCTTAATTTTATAATAGACGGTCAATAATTAAATGCTCATAATAAATTAATGGCCTTGATCAGAGAAGGAATTATAAACTAATTAATGATGAGAATCAGATTCACAAAGCATGCGGGATTTTGATTTGCAAAGGTGGAATATTAGTGTTTAATTTTCAAGTCCATGCCTTTTATTTATTATTTTTGTTAGGTGAAAAGAGAAGGGCCCACACACTGGTTAATATCTCTCTCTGGGTGTGACCATGATGGTCCCTTTTTATAAAATGTTTGGTTTGAACCATCTATAATATAAAATATGGTAGCGTTCGATATGTTCATTCGACGGTTTCAAATAGCCACTAATATTTCTCTCAAAATCATTCACATTTTACCGTGTCTTCAAGCACGAGTTATCCTTAGTAACTACTAACTCAGAAAAACAGCTTGTTACCGTAAGACTACCACAACCAAGTAGCAATTCGTATTACTCTCGCAAATTGAACTCTACTTGATAACTACATGAAAGTTAAGAACGACCTTAAATGAGTACAATTTACCATTAGACAATCAGTTTGGATGATAGTTCTACCTTTGATAATGATTGAAACTACATTATATAGCATTGCATTGCCATAGTCCATAGAACCAACCAAAATCTTGTCATGGAGAAGAAAAAAAAGGAAAAAAAAAACAAGTTGGTCAAAAATCTAAATCGTCGTATTAGATTTGGTCAAAAACAAGTTGGTCAAAAATCGTCGTATTAGATTTGTCTAAGTAGAATAAAAAATTACATCTTAGGCAAGAAAATTTTTCCCTTTTTGCCCATGTTTCTTCTAAACAAAAGTGTCCCACAAGCCAAATATCTAAGATTGTGATGATATTTCAAGGGAATAAAATACAGGATTTGAAAACGAATAACTTTGTTAGAAAGAGTAGGGTGTTTCAAAATTGCAATCATGTTTTGAACTTCTTATTCCTAGTGACAAGGTGAAAGTCACTTTGGCAAGCAAATCTTTCTATATCTAAATATGGCCTTGCATTGTACCTACTTTTTTTTGTTCAATAAAACTATAATATGAGTGAACTTTTATAATTTATTATTTTTAAAATCCTCTGTTGCAAACAAATAAAGAAAAGTAGCATTTCTGATGTAATTTTTAAAAATTATTTTTTGATACTAAAAAATATTAGGTGAATTATACTCAAATTCCTTAAAATTTGTTATTTAACCACTTATATCCCTTCATATTTGATATATTACACTTAGATACCTTGCGGTTTATGTACATTGCTCTTATCGCTGGTTTCCGTTAAAGTAGTTCTTAAAAATTTGTTAAAAAATCAATTTTTTTTGAATTTTTAAAAAATAACACGTGATTTTGATTATTTGTGACTTTATTGGAATATATTGATTAGTGCATTTGTTAAAACAAATTGGTTTTTTTATTATTATTATTGGTGTTAATCTGAATATATGGTGTGACAGGACATGAGTTTCCAGGAGTCTTGGTACATTAGTTTTTTTTTTTTTTTGAAATATATGTTCTGTTTCATCCCTTTTTTTGGATTTCCTTGTTCCATTGTTTGTTCGCAAATTGATAGCAAATAAAAATAAAAACCCCTCTATTATAGAATTTTATTATTATTATTATTATTTTTTGATATGCAAAGAGTGTGGGCTTATAATATGGCAACATTAGTCTTTATATAGACAAAGTGGGCATCATATAAAAGGTAGTTTAGTAAATTAGTTTTATATTTTATGATGACATTATAAAGTTTTTACGGTTATCTTAAAAGAGACTAATGATAAACGTGATGTGTTGTACGCACACAAATTTTAGGAGATTTAGGCATAATAAATCAAATATAAGATAATTTAATTGATTAAGTGACAAATTTTAGGCATAATATACTATTTTGTAAAAATTAAATATGGTCACATTTGATTGCCTACCGACTATCAATGGGTCCTAGTGGGACCATAAAAAAGAGAACTTTTTTGCTTTCCTACCCTACTTTCCATGCCAATACCCCCCAAAAGTCGTCACATTCTTTATACAAAAAAGATTATTTCACATGAATATAATTTGGGACACAATTTGGACTTAGATTTCATAGCATAGATTCATAGTATTGTTTAGAAATCTCTTAATACTAATTACTCTCTCATTGTCCTCTCTCTCTCTCTCTCTCTACACAACTATACATAAATAACCCTTCTTTAGTACTCTGATCATATTGACTCTGTTCACTTTGATTGTAGTCTACAAAACCCTCGTGGTTGGTCAGATTATTTTCACACAGAGTCGTGAGCAACTACCTTTCTGTGATCTGTGTTTTTCATCAGACATTCACGACTCTGATACCTGAATTCTGGCCGATATATTTTAGATCTTCCTTATTTTCAACGATTTTGTTTTTGGACTCTTTCGTTTTAGCAATTTTTGTTAAAACCCTTGTTGGTTTTTGCTTCAAAATATAGTCTTTACACTATGAGCGCGTCTGTGAAGCTATCGACTATACAGATCACCGGATCCGATTTTCTCCGGCAGAAATCTCCGGCACTGTCGCGGCAATTCTCGCGTCTGCCACCGCTTTCAGCAACTAATAAATATCGTCAAAGCTCAATTGTTTCAGTCTCTAAACCTCTATATGTTTCTTCGATTGAGAGTTTTGGGTCTTTGAAGAGATCGTCGAAGGATGATGAAAAGAGGTCTTTGATCACGTGCAAGGCCTACGAGGCGGATCGATCGGAGCCGATCGATGAGAACATTCAGCAATTACAGACGCGATCTGAAGCAGCGAAGAGATTCAAGATCGGTGTTTACTTCGCAACTTGGTGGGCTTTGAATGTGGTCTTCAATATATACAATAAAAAGGTCTTGAATGCTTTTCCATTTCCATGGTTAACCTCGACTCTTTCGCTCGCTGCTGGCTCTCTTATCATGTTGATTTCTTGGGCTACAAGGATCGCTGAAGCACCAAAGACAGATTTTGACTTCTGGAAAACCCTTTTCCCTGTAAGCAAATTAGGGTTTTACATGATCTGGGTCTGGTATATTTAGCATTTTTACTCTCAGGGTTTGGTATATTTAGGATTTTTATCATCTGGGTTTCCTAGATATTGATTTTCTATTATTTGGGTTTGGTGTATTTTGAACTTTTGTGATCTGGGTTTGTTTTGCTTGGATTTCATGATTTGGGTTTGGTATCTTGCTGAGTTTTTCCCCCCTTGTTTGCTGATATGGTTTGGGTTTGTTAGGTTGCTTTGGCACATACCATTGGGCATGTCGCGGCGACTGTGAGTATGTCGAAGGTGGCGGTGTCGTTTACACACATCATCAAGAGTGGTGAGCCTGCTTTCAGTGTACTGGTTTCAAAGTTCATCTTGGGTGATACATTTCCGCTGCCGGTTTACTTGTCCCTTATTCCGATCATCGGTGGTTGTTCCCTTGCTGCTGTTACTGAGCTGAATTTCAACATGATTGGTAATTTTCTTTCTGAAATATTGGACTATATGTGTTTAACTTGCATTCTCATTGCTTCTTATTTTAACCTCTGTTTGTTTGCTTAGATTATAGGAGACATATTATGGATCTTACACTATTCTTTGTTGGGGACTTGGAGAAACATGCATTTTCCAGCAAATTGAGCTTAGTTTAGTTGAGCTTTATTGACTGGCAATCATCCATGAGATTGAAATTCTAATTTTTGTTGTTCTTCAGTCCAACCCCACCCTCCCCCCCCCCCCCCCCCCCAACAAAACACACAAAAACAAAAAAAAAACCTTCTCTTTTGTAAAGGTTGTGGCTTAATTGTGTATTTCGGTATTTCCCTTGATTTCTATGAACCATCATGTTTCTTGCTTAGCTGGGTAACAAGGGTTCTGGTGACTTTTTTGGCGTTGAAGAAAGTAGTAGGGATTTGAATGTAATTTCGTTGCTTCTTGCTTTTAATGGTTGCTTTCTAATGGCTTGATGTGGTTGTTGGCTGTCAACTTCAGGTTTTATGGGGGCTATGATCTCAAACTTGGCCTTTGTGTTTCGAAACATTTTTTCGAAGAAGGGCATGAAGGGGAAGTCTGTTAGTGGGATGAACTATTACGCATGTCTATCTATATTGTCTCTCATAATTCTCACACCATTTGCAATTGCTGTAGAGGGACCACAGATGTGGGCAGTTGGATGGGAAACGGCCATTTCCCAGATTGGACCCCATTTCATTTGGTAAGCACATGACAACTACCAACTTTGATTTCCTTGGTAGTCTTTGCTTGTACCCAACTTGGTCTACATGTTTTTTTATTGCATTGATAGTGATGTTACATGCTCAAGGTAAATATTATTTTGACAACAGTAATTTTTCAGGATGAGGACAACTCTCCTGCAATTTTGTCTGCCAGTGGGAAAACACCAATGAAAAAACTACCAAAATTCTTCATGCCCTGATTTTCCAGTTGTTATTAATTTAGCTATGGCATAATTGCAATTATTTATCTTTGGTAGAACTGGCTGATTCTAGAGCAGTCTTGAATCCCCTTGACAGATGAACATGATGAGAGCATGGGGATCTAAATTGGTTTTGCTTAAGATATATCCTGCTGAATAAGTTGACCCCAGTCAGATGTGCAGCAGCATTTCACCAAATCAATTTTTTCAGCTAAATTTTTTTGAAGAACCTATTTCATTGATAGAAATCCTCTTGTTATTCACGTAAATCTTGTATGATGGTAAGACCATGTGAAATTTTTTATTCTGAACATGACTTGTTTTAGTTTCTAATACAGCAACTGATTGTTGTGTGATTAGACTGTGAATAAACATTTTACTTACTCCCTAGTTACTGTGCCTTTGTTAATCTTGTATTTTCTTAGGAGGTGGTGTTTTGTAATTGTCATAGACTCATAGTATATAGTTCATTGTTTTTTTCCTCCTTTTCTGGATTTTGATTGATTTATGAGCAGTCTGTGTGTTTTTAATTGATTTGAATATTTTTATTGCTTGCCTTTTACTGAAGAAATGGTTGTGTGGCTGATATTTGTGCATGATAGGTGGGTGGCGGCCCAGAGTGTGTTCTATCACCTCTACAACCAGGTGTCTTACATGTCCCTGGATGAGATCTCTCCCTTGACATTTAGCATTGGAAACACCATGAAACGAATATCTGTCATAGTCTCTTCTATCATCATTTTCCATACACCTGTTCAGCCCATCAATGCTCTTGGAGCTGCCATCGCAATCCTTGGAACCTTCTTGTATTCCCAGGTAATTTACTCACTTTTTCCATTATGAACTTCGACTGAATATAATGTGGATACTCTGTTTGGAAGTGTCCTCGTACAATCGCAATAGCCTTTTATTAATATCCACGACTTTATTTTGTTCAAGCTGGTGGATGAAATAAACCCACAAAATCTTTTTGTTAATATTCAACGTCCCTCCATGTATGACAGAGGTTTATAGGTTTGGAAGTGTTTTGTGTCTTATCAGGGAAAAAAACAATAGAGCGATAAAGCTGTCGCCTGCTGTCCTAGTGGTAATACCAGTAGGATAAGGGAGAAATTGTCTCCATCATCATAGTGCCATGGACCGTTGGGTCCATCAGAGTGGGTGGTCACTCTCATTGCACATCTTTAGGTGCTGGGTTCCCCCCCCCCCCCCCGGGTGGGGGAGGGGGGGGGGGGTAATAGCCTGGCACAGGACGGGGTGGAGGGAAATACGACTCTGACCAAAATGGTTTATTGTGCTATGTGGTAGACTGGTATTGTTCGGTTAGATCCAGCTGACTGGGAGGATTCATGCTACAGTTTTGGTTGTTTTGAGGTGCCGGAGATTATCTGCTAGCATAAGTATAACCTTCTAAATTGTGTGGCAGTTAATCCTGACCATCCGTTTGCCCATTGATTTTTTTATTTGTGCTTTAAATGATTCCATCTGTTACGATAGCCATTGAACTGTGGCTCTACTCAAACCAATCTTACAAGTAAAAATTTTCACCAGTTTTGTAATGCAAGTGATATATTACGTTCCTGTATCCAACTCCATTCCTTTCACACACTGGTTTGAACAGATTCAGAAGAATCAAATAGAAGATGACGGAAAAAAAAATGGATTAGTAAGATTGAAGAACAGGAAATATGTGCAGCTTCTATGTTTGTGTATTTAAGTGAGATTTCCAGAATAATTGATTGCGGCATTCCTTTTTGACCTTTATCTTGCCTTCTTTTCACAGGCAAAGCAGTGAGGCTGGGATGAAGAATATCGGTGTATGTATAGCATAGCTGAGAGAGAAAAGACCATGGTTTTGGTTGATGTGTTGATTAAGCTGTTTTTCAGGATCCATCACCTCTGGAGGTTCATATTCATGAGGTGGGCCAGCAGCTTTACTTCTTTTGTACACTAATAATGAGACGGCAGAATTTGTTCTTATACAGCTCATTAGGCAGTTTTTTCTTATGGCGTTTTTACCTCCACGGTTGAGGAAAGAACTGAGAACTGTTACAATAAACAAGGGCAATCGTCAAGCCTAGAATGTTTTGAATGATAGCAATATCAATTGTGTGGATTTTGTGAAAGCCTTTCTGTGCTATGATGCACTAGAGAAACAAGTAAAGTTGGGAACTCCTTTGCACATTAGCAGCGTGATGGTGCCAATGATAACTCTATACTACGCATTCATACATATGCGTTGTTTTGTGTACATTGTACCCTATTCAGGAAAGGTCGCTACGACTGACAGAGGTTCAAGTTCTGTAATTGCTTAGAAGTTTCGCACTAAGAAAATTAAGCTAACAGGCAGTCTGACCATGTAAAGTTGCGGTAATTGTGCCACTTTTCGAAACAGCAATGCAAAATTGGTGATAGGTAGGTAGCAGTGCTTGGGAATGTTATCTGTGTAGCTTTAGAAGAAGTGAGTATTTAATGTATGATTTTGCAAAAGATTCGTGTGGTTAAAGTCATCGTCATACCTGTATAGAAATTAACAGCAAATGTAATCCAAACAAAAATTTTTGACGGCTTACGTCACAAAACTTTATTTCATCCATACAACGGCTCTTCTCAAGAAAACAAACATGTCACAAGAAATTGTAAACCCTTCTCGGAATAAAATGCCCCATAATCAAACCTGCAAATGCTTAATGGCTGTCTGAACATCTTTATCTCCTCTGCCACTGCAGTTAACAACGACCTTCGTTCTGTTTGGAAGAGTTGGGCATAGCTTCTCTAGATAAGCCAATGCATGAGATGTCTCCAGAGCTGGGATTATGCCCTCTAGCCTAGATAATCTCTTAAAAGCTGCAAGCACAAGCCCAAAGAAACCAACAAAAATGAAAATAAAACAAAAAAGGAAAAAAGAGGCAAAATAGACAGAAAGGAGGAGGAGGAGGAACTCTAGCTTATGATAACAATACAACCTATCAACAACCAGGTAACAAAGGCCAAGCACCTTTTTATTCTACTTATAAAACCAAATAGAGCTATAAGAAAGGAGGAGGAATTACAAAGAATGTGCTATTTTCGCTGGGAAAAAAAACAATGAACAATGTGGTTCATGCACACATGCATAGTAAGTGGAATCATGGAATCCATATAGAACTGAAAAGAAAATATAGGTGGTATATCCTTAGTCCTCACCTTCCAATGCCTCTTCATCAGTAACACTATAATATTCTGCACGTCCTATGTCTTTCAGATAGCTATGCTCTGGTCCAACTCCAGGGTAGTCGAGCCTATAAGAGACAAAGAAAGGTTTCCTGTTAGGAAACTATAGTGAAAGCAATCATCCCTAAACTCAAAATCAAAACATAAATGAATTCCTTTACCCCGCACTAATAGAGTGAGGCTCAATTATCTGCCCATCTTCATCCTGCAATAAATAGCTCATAGCTCCGTGCAGTACACCAACTTCTCCTTTAGTCAAAGTGGCAGCATGTTTACCACTATCTAGGCCAAAACCTGCAGCCTCCACACCAATAAATCTAACATCTTTGTCATCAACAAATTCATGGAAGAGTCCCATGGCATTCGAACCTCCACCAACACATGCAACAAGTACATCTGGCTTCCCACCCCATTTTTCCAATGCCTGTTTCCTCGTTTCTTTACCAATCACCGCATGAAACTCTCTTACCATCATAGGGTATGGATGTGGCCCCGCAACAGAACCCAAGATATAATGGGTAGATTCCACATTGGTTACCCAATCCCTGATAGCTTCCGAAGTAGCATCCTTTAGAGTTGCCGTCCCAGAATGAACTGCTCTAACCTATATATTAAAATGAAAGCTCAACACCTGAACCAACTGTTTCTACCTAATCAAGTAACACAATCATTCCATATAAAGCATGTTTTCCAGCTAGTTGTCAACTCTAGAACATCAACCTAAAGAAGTTGACCATCAACATAACAAGGATAATAATGAGGGTCCAATGTGAGATATAAAAGTAATTCTAGTAGGAGCTCACGCAATGACAATAAGATGATAATATAAAGGTCGTCATGGAACCTCATAAAGATTCATCAACTATTTTCGTGCCGCGTGACACTTATTGCAGCAAATGACAAGGATGACCAAGGAGTAAAGATCAAAATATCGTTCTGGCCCATTGTTTCAGTCACCTAACAAATGAAAACATTTAGAAAACATAATGGAAATAGATAAAAATTTTGGGAATTTATTTTCAAAGCATTAGTCTAAATATATCTAAACATCTTGAAAACCCTTGAAACATCGGTGAAAACATGCTGAAACATCTCGAAACAACTCCAATAATTCCGAAATATCTTAAAACACCTCGAAACATTGGAATTTCGATTCAATCACTAATTCATTTTGGTTTTCTTGAAAATGAAAACATTTCAACCGTTTTGAAATGATATTTTGATCCTCAAGAAGGAGGAATAACAAAATGATATAAATACAGTAATGTTGCATAGAATAGAAGATACAACTACGTGAAGAAGAATGAGTAATTGTAGGTTGGTGGCTACCTAAGGAAACTCCAATTCGATCCCCCCCCTGGCTAGGAGGCATCTACCTCATCCCAATCACAAGGAGAGGTTCACTATGATGAGGGTCCTTTGAATTATTCTTCCGGAAAGAATGAAATGCATAGGAGACCATCCTTTTGTTGCGGCATACTCCTCCAATTTACAGATTCGCAGGGCCTCAGGCCCTACTTAGTTTGACTGACAATCCCCTCCCCACCCAACACAACCAAAAAAAAAAACCTCACTCCCCAAAGAGACAACACGCAAGCTTCAAGCACACACACCAACTTTGGAGCAACTAGGATGATCATTCCACCATGCCACCTTTATACCTAAATTCATCAGCATCCAACAAATTCATTGGTAGAGTATTTAAGGATTTTGCTATTAGTGAAAATGACAACTAAAGGACTGCTAATAGTGTTCAACATGCAACTAATTAGTAATCACAATGAAACCCATAACTCCAGACAGCATCACATAGTGAACCAACTTCCTGAATATCGGAAGAACAATAGAAATTCTCCCTTTATCATCCATTCATAACCATGACAGAAGACATCACATGAAACAATTAACTCTGTAATGTGTTTTAAAAAAGAAAAACCACCCATCACTAATAATTTAAAATAAGTAGAAATAAGCATGCAAAACAAACCTCAGCTCCAAGAAGCCGCATTCTAAAGACATTCAGTGATTGTCTCTCCATATCTTGGGCACCCATATAGATAACACACTGCAAACCAAACCGAGCACATACTGTAGAGGTGGCAACTCCATGCTGTCCAGCCCCAGTTTCAGCAATAATTCGCTTTTTCCCCAAACGCTTGGCAAGCAAAGCTTGGGCAACGGCATTGTTGATTTTGTGAGCCCCAGTGTGGTTAAGATCTTCCCTCTTGAGGTATATATGTGGCCCTTCCCCATTGGGATGCTTATAGTGCTCAGTGAGCCGTTCTGCAAAATAAAGAGGACTTTCTCTGCCAACATAATCTCTCAAAATCCCATATAGTTCTTTCTGCAACAAAATTTGGTCAGTCATATAATCGCCAGTGACAACATGACTGTGAAACACAGCATCAAGGATAATACTTTCAGTTCAAGGAATGTAGCTCTAGATCACCACTATAGCATCACAAAAATACTTAAATTGAACGCATTTCCGATAAAGTTGGAAACTTCATCACCATACTTGATACATGAAATATGAATCCAAGATTTAGCTTCAGAAAACTCACTTGTGTTCGAGATCACATAAATGGGCTTTTGTAAATTAAATGGTTTAGTAATGCTCCAAAATGGTCGAAACCAAATTCCTTTAAGCTTTGTGAGGCTCCTTTGCAAGCCTTAGCTCTCAAATCTATCTATATCACGCTATAAAATTTGATATCATGACATCTTAGCATAGAAATCAGAGCAATAGAAGACGTCCGTAGAAAATTTCATCCCATTTCGTTAGAAATTCAATCTCATTTCCCTCATTCTATTCATTTTTCAGGAGTAAAAAGAAAAAAAAACCTCATTCTATTCATTTTTCAGAAAAAGCAAAACAAAATGGAAACCAAATTTCAATAAACACAAGGATTGAAGTTACGACAGAAATAGACTAAAAAATCTGAATGTTATAATTCAAAAAATCTGATTACAGAAACCTGAAAGTCTTGGTCTCCTGCGAGAGATTTGAATGCGGACTCAAGCTCGGTGAGAGCGTACATTAAGGTCTCAGGAACATACTTCCCGCCAAACTTTCCGAACCGGCCGAAGGAGTCCGGCCGCAGAAGAATCACCGGTTCGGACTCTTTCTTCTCCTCCACCATTGGCTGACGGCTCGTCGATTCTCTGGCTAGAGTGCAAACGATCGGAAAGGTCTTGGCGGTGGTGGTCGAAGGGCAAGACGTAAATTTATTGAATTTGATGGGCAAATGGGAGGAGGGATTGTAGGATTTGGGAGGTGGCGAAGGAGTGCAGCTGGTTCTGCCAGTGGAGGAGCTTGTGGAGGAGAAGGCCATGTTTGTATGATGTCTTTTTGGATGGCTTACAAACATGGGTAGATTGATTTTTCAATTGTGAGAACATATTATCAAATTTTTATTCAAATTTAAATTAGTATATCTGAGTTACTGCATTTATTCAAATTTAAATTAGTATATCTGAGTTACTGCATACAAAAGACTCTAATAAATAAATTCAAATTTCAAGAAAGAGAAATACAAATATAAAATTAAATGAGAATAAAAATAATTATTAAATCTTTAAAAAAGAGTGAAATCTCAACATTAAAGATTTTGACAAGTATTTGAATATCTTTTAATTTGAGAGTAAAAATAATGAGTCTCGTCTTTTGATTTGATATAGGGTTAATTATAAGTTGTACCTTGAAAGATAGTTTGAATTTTAATTTAAATCTTCAAAAATCAAAAATCTTAATTTGTACCTTCAAATATAAAAATTTGTATCAATGTGCACTCCTAAAGATCAAAAATTTCAATTTGTATCCTCAGATATAGAAATTTGTATCAATGTGTACCCCTAAAAATAAAAAATTTTAATTTGCACCCTTAAATATAAAAATTTGTATCAATGTGCATCTAAAATTAAATTGATAAATTATATCTAGATCCCCCTCATGTTTGTCACTTAATTATTTGGACCATTTCACATTTAAAATATTACTCCTACATCTCATAGCGTTTGTGCATGTGTATCACATAACCCATTTTTGTTGATATATGTTAATATAACTGTTAAAAAAATATTATTTTATCCTAATAAAAATTTATAATTTCATATTACCCTTTATTTTGTGGATCCAAGTAAAAATGCGGAAGAGTTTTTCCCACCCCCTTGGAGTTGCTCTTATACAATCATACTCAAGGCTACAAAGCAAACCTCAAATGCATGTCATCACCCTGTTCTTATGTACTGACAAGGGTGGAGTCAAAATTTTTGTTCATGGTGGACACTTTAATTATGCACTTTAATTTTTTTCTTTTTAACCAATCACACTATATAACATATTTATATTTATTATATTATATTTGATATATGAAGTCCATTTAACATAAAAAAATTCCAAAAAAAATGTATATTATTAGGGACGGAGCCATGAATATCTATGATAGAGACAAAATATAACTGATATAAAAAAATATTTAGCAAAAATTAATACAAAAAAAATATTTAGGCAAAAATTTTCACTAATTTTCTATTAATGCGCACAATTACAAGTACATAGTAAAATTATTCTTTATTTAGTTACAAAATTTAGTTGAGATTATTATCAATCTTATAGAGAAATTTCATATTCAAAATAGTTTGAAATATTTTTGGGTTACAACCTTTTATTTTTTGTATACAATCGTATTTTATTAAGTTATAGACTACTACTACTAAAAAAATGGTAAATAAAATCTCAAAATTATTCTTAAAAAATAACGAACATTGTGTTAGATAAAGATAAATGTTATATTTTTGTCAATATACAAATAGAACATTGACTCAATCCTAGTGGTCCACTAATTTATTAAAAAAAAAAAGACTAGAACCATTATTAAAATTTCTAAAATTTTAAGGGGTAAATATAATGTATAAAATAATTTTATAAATTAGTGCAAGGAATGACAAAAAAACTCAAGGAACTGAGTTTCTCGTGTGTTGAGTTTCTCTCTATTTCTTCTTTTTTTCTTGTGGCTGGGCAGTGGGCAGCTGAGAGTGAGTGATACAGAGAGGAAAAAAAAATAAAATAGGTTTTAGTAAAGTAGGTCAAAATTTTTATTTTTTAATGATAGTGAGCCAAAAATTTTATTTTTTTAATAGTTTTGGGTGGATTGTTATAGGTCAAATATATGATTTTTTAATAAGTTTGGGTAGATAATAGTGAGTTTAATTTTTTTTGTTTTAAATTGGATTAATTTTTTAATTATTTTGGATAAATAATGTGAGTCTAATATAAATTATGGGGCACACATAATATATATATATGTTTAACTAATAAAAAAAAAATTGAGAGGGGACGTGCCCACCCTGGCCCTTCTCTCCCTCCGCCTATGTGTACAGGGTAATTGTTTTTTCCCTTGCCACTTCATCTTTTTCCCCACTTATCCCCTCTTATGTTTTCTCTTTCAAGTCCAAAGAAACAAGGTCTACCCCTTTCTGACATTAGAGCAAAGCTACAGGATGATACCAAGACATAACAAAAATGATCTATTCAAGATTGCAGTAAATGTACAAATTTTGTGTGCAACCACTACCATACTCATTATACACACCTATTCTTCTATTCATATCTTAATTCCACATAAAGGCTCTTTTCGGTGCTGAGCTGTACCCATTAGTCGGGTCCACACAAATATTGTATGTACCTTTCAATTCGTCTTCTTGTTTTGGGACTTCAAGAGGCTTACCTTTCCTTCGTTTTCAAGCCATATGTATCAAGAAGTTGTGGACCCTGGCCTCATCTGCACACAAGATCTCTTTGATTCTCTTTGCCTCTGTAAATGGTGAGACACCATTTCGCCAATTCTCTTTCATGGGCCCAATCATTTGGTGCAACATTTTTCCCTTATTCAAGGATTAAAATTTCATTTTGACACATAATTTTGTTTAATTTCAAAATACAAACGTCTGAAAAATGATTTGGAAACAATACAAAAATATGATAGAAACAAACAAAAAATTTAAAAATTATTTGTGGAACATTATGTAACATTTCAAAATATAGTAGTTTTAGTAATCAGTCATGGACTCATTTCATTTTACATAGAAAAGGAAACGTTAGTTCCTTGGCTTTATACCCTAACATTTCTTTTCTCCGGTTTTGACAAAGTGCAGCTACATGGAACTAAAGTTCAAACCCAAGATATACACCACAAACAAGATATAAACAAAGAGGATATCTTTATTTCTCTCTGAAAAAAAAATATAAGAATTTATACAAAATTCTCACTGAGATCTCTCCCGAATCTCTCTCTCTCTCTCTCTTTCTCTCTGTTTCTTCTTCACTGATCTTAAGCATACTTCCGGCCTTCACTAAACTTCCTATTTATTGGGAGTTTTTTGGCCAAATAAGTCAAGAAAAAAGGAAACACATTTAAGGCTTTGGCAAGCTTTGTCAAAGCTTTAGTGGTCCGCCGTCAATCAGTCCGCCGACAAGCCATTAGTAGGGTGGCTACTAAGATGGGCTACTGGGTAACCTCTGATGGAGCTGGATTCTTCAAAAGATTCTCTTGGCAATGTGTGAATACTAGAACATCTCTCAATCGGAAATTTTTTGAGACCTATGTGGTTCCAACTTTCAATCCTCAAGTTTGTTTCTCCTCCTCAACTCTCAAGTTTGTGCCTTTTACCTGTTATATGAGAATCTTTAACAAATTCCCAAGCAGAACCACATAATAACATACTTGTCTCGTAAGAAAATGGGGAGAAAATTAAAATGTATGTTATAGCCAGCCAATCAATTCTTTTTCGTTCAATTGCCAAGTAGAGATAAGGTTTTGACATTTTCTCTTTTTACAGAGAATAAGAATAATATTTCATTTAGATTTGTTCAGTCCACTGGACCACCATTCTACAATTTCTTCAAGGAAAAAAAGCAAAGACTTCCAGTAGTATAACATAAGACTAAAACTTAGTCACTAAATCAAAATTATAATGGAACTTGCTTCTTTCTTCTAATGTGTTTATCGTTGCATTTCTTCATATATACACTCAATGTAGCCTTAAAAACTACAATAACATTAGGGGTCACTTTAATGTTCTCCGGAAATTAATACTTGCATGTGTTGGACTTTGCAATGGAAATGCTTCCATTGTGTTTGGGTATGTGACTCTGTGAATTTGATCTAAAAGTATTCATAATTCAAAGTATAACTTTCAAAAAGTTTCCATCTTTTGCTCAAGAGAAATTTCATTAGGTTTGGGACTTGCGGTGCAAGAAGAGTTCCACCTATTTTTTAGTTTCATATCCTTAAATATCCACTACAAATATCATATGTATAGAATTTCAGATTTTGTCTTTTATTTGGCACATGTATCTTGGAACAAACTTGCGACCAATTCTATCACTTTAAAGGCTGACAATCATATTGATCTACATTCAAAAGGTTTAACATAATTAGAATTATTCAATATGTGAATAGCAATTCGAAACTTGAGGTATAGAATCACCAAATTAAGAATTTTAGGATTAAAGTGATATAACGGGTTATTTGTCCCACAGAGTTGCTTGTGTGAAATCAATGGGCTAGTTCAACAGGTATCAAAGGGTTGTTTATAATGTTTTACTTTGGATTTGAATGATTTCATTGGTTGACAATGTGTTTCTGATTGTCATATCTTTTGAATTCAAGTTTTCAATTCACTTGTTTAAAATGAGATTACGTTAACTTGTCGCTTGAATTCTATGTTTGCAAATTTTGTACTAGTGTATCCCCAGGATATACTTGGTCAGTGGCTATGTAATAACTCACAATGAACGATAATTTTTGTACTATATGATGTTGTAACATTTTTGTCATTTTGCCTTATTGCACACAAGTAGTGAGGTTGCTTAACTCATTTTTTTTTGGGGGACAACTAAGGTATTTCTTTCTTGTATTTGAATGGCATCATTATTTCTCCTCTCAATCACTGAATCTATTATCCATTTGGCCGAGGAAAGAGATGAATATGGTTCTCAAATTGTATTGCAAGATTGAATAGTGTTGCATGGTCCTTTAGGGTGGACATTATGAAAACCATGCATTGTTTTATATATATATATATATATATATAGGGGATACGGATAGAGCTAATAAAAAAAATATACGACACGACTTATTTATATATTAATTATACACAATTTATATTTGATATAACATGATTTACTAGACACGAATTAGTAAACAAATCATGTTTGAGTGGAATATTTTTGACACGATCCCATTAAAACCTGACACAAACTCGTCTCACTCGACACAATTAATATACCTAATTATAAATAGCCTAATTAGTTTATAACTTCACTTTTAAAAGGTTGAACTTGATTTTAAATGGTGTAACTTTA